ATTTTTTTTCTTTCTTTAATTTCTTAAAGAAAGAAGAAAGCATATAGTTGCGAAGACTAAATTGCTTTTTATCTTTTGATTTGCAGGGGCGATTTTAATTCATCAAAAAGAAAGTTAACTTCTCTTAAACTTTCTTTAATCGTCAAAGAAAGTTTAATCAACTAAAAATCTATATGACATAAGTGGTTATGAATTTTTACTACTTTTATAGTGACGCAGAATTGCGCTTTATACTAGTCTTTAACCCAGTGCGTAGCACCGGGCTTTAACATTATTAATTTTTTTATATTATTTTAATTATAATTAATATTTATTTTTATATTATTTTAATATTAATAATTTTTTCTTATATTATTTTAATTATAATTAGCTATAACAACTTTAATAGTTTTTAATTATTTTAATTATAATTTATATTTATTAGATATAATAGCTTTAATAGCTCCTAATTATATTCATCAGCAACGCGCAAATAAACAATCTCTATAGACAACAATCTTAAAGACAATACAGTTTGTATTCTTCGCTATGCTCAGTAATACCGACAGAGCTCGCTTCACTCACTCTGTAGTCGCTCGCTCCAGCTAATGCCTTCGGCTCCGCTCCTGTTTTATAAAGCATACTAACCCTAACACTAATCTAACCCTAACCCTAACTCTAACTATTTGTTGTAGACAACATTAGTAGCAATAAATTAAACCCTAACCCTAACCCTAACCCTAACTATTTGTCATAACAACTTTAATAGGTTTTAAGGGGCATGCTATTTATTACGTAATTTGTCTTTACTATAAGGCAATACCCCCTCCCCCCTCCGTAATACTATGCCTAAAGCAAAGATAAATCATGTGACTATCAACCAATCAAATTGCAGTAACTTTTAAACAAAAAAAATTAATAACTTTTATAAAATAGAAAAATATTAATTCTTATAAATTATTTTTTACTTTGGATATTTTTTTATGTTTATTTTAAATACTAAAGCATTTTTAAATGCATATATTATGCTATAAGAGCGATTGCATCATAGTAGCAACTTCACAATAAACAATCGTTCCAATCCTTAGAACAAGCATAATATGATTAAATTTAAAAAGGAAAAATTAAATTGTTCTTGATAACGTGCAATGTAAGTTATAAAATAATTAATATTATCTAAAAAGAGTATGTCATAGATCATAGAATTAGGGATGGTAAACTTTTTTTAAAACATCGGCGTCTGATTCTAAAAATTGGATGAAATTAAAATTATTGTCTCTGGTTGGCTAATTTTAGTTTCAGCAAATTTGATTGTTAAAGAGAAATTTTCAAAAAATGATGTCGAATGTATTACATTTAAGAATAATAAGAAATGTATTTGATCAGTTTAAGAATTTTAACACATAATTTCGCCTATCGGCAAATACAATTTTTATTGATTTTAAATGCATAATTGCCTATCGGCAAGTACAACTTTCATTCTGTACTAGTTTTACATTCGTTAGAATAGTACCCAAATTTTGCCATTCAACCTGATATTCTGAATCTAGCAAATTATTTGCCAAATATAGAATGGGTGTACAGTTTTAATATAATGTTATATCAATATGGCTTCTATAAATTCTTCCCAGAAAAGATTTTCAAAGGAATACTAGCTGAATAAAAAAACCTTGCTAATATACTATCCATATCCGATTTATCTAATTGCACATCATTATTCGAACCAGAATTCTGATTCTGAATTTTTAATGAATCTCTTATATTTCTTGGAAGTTTTTTACATTTTAATAAATGGCCTTTTAATCAGTCAACTGAATCAATAGTCTTCTTCGCAATAATTACATTTTTTGGCGAGGTGTTTTTCGACCATGTTTATCGGGTTCAGCAACTTTTGTAAAGTTCAAACGATTTCTTTTAGGGGTTCTTCCGCGAACATAAGACATTTTTTGAAAATTTTTTTATTTAATTTATTTTTTGAATATCTATTAATTTATTTTTGAATATCGATATTAATAATCATATTATAAATTAAATTATGCAATTCGGGTCATGTTCGGATCATATTATGTCATAATGTATTAAAACAATTTTCAACAGTTTTAAATCAAACAATTTGCTATTCCTACATAGAATGCAAAACAATCAATACGTGAACTCAAAAAATATTGTCATTAGTTGTGTCTAGACAAATAAATCAAAATTTAAAAAGCCCAATTGATTATACTGTGTTGTGAAAAAATTATAGATCTTAAAAAAATTATTAGTAATTTTAATTATTATAACGATAAGAGATAAATTTAATAAAATTTAATTCGCCACTTTAGTGTCTATCTATTTATACTGCGATTATGAATTCTTCTAATTTCGATGTCAATAAGTACAGAACCGCTAACCCAAAAAGCAAGTGATGAAATTCATAGTTGCGCATGTAATAACAAACAAGGTAAAAGCAGCAATACTAAACAATCAAGGCCACATGAAAGGCTATGTAAAAAGGCGTGAAAATCTAAAATGAATTCAAGTGTATCTTCGAATTCACACGATAAAGAAGCAAAAAAAAAAAATTAGTATAAAGAAAGTCATAAAATGAAAAAGAAGTAAATAAATTACTTTCCATTATCAAGCTCAAAGCCACATTAAATCATGAATCTTCTTAGACTACAACAATGTAAAATAGATGAGATCAAAGAGATGAAAGATTTTTAAAAAGTATATAAATAAAAGTAAAATAACATCTCAAATTTAGGCTAATAACCAATAGCTTTTTTTCACTTATCTTTGTTCCAAATAAATCTTTAAAGTATCATTTTTTGTATTAATAATAAATAAGAAACGCGCTAAGTTTTCCAGTGCAAAATTTAATTTTTTGTCAAAAATATTCAATTGTCAAAACCTACTTTATCTTAAGTTCAAAATGAGTCAAAGTTTTCTTTCAATGCCTAAATTTCCAAAAGCTCATTTGTATGTTACTCCTAAAACCCTGTATCATGAATTCTGTAATGCTTTTGCCTATTTTATAATGGTTAAAGCTTGTGATCCGAGTATAAAACAGCAGGATTTAATGGATGCAGCAAACAAAGAATGGCAAAAATATTGAAAAGAACCTGAAATAGAAATCAGAAAGCAAATCAATCAATATCTTTTAGCAAATCCATCTATTATTAGAACAGCAAACTTTTTTTTCCCTCCTAATTTACCTAATTCTGAATCGTCAAATTCAAATTCTAGCACCAATTCCAATACTAATTCCTGTATCAACTCTTCGTTGTCTTCATCTAATGAAACACCAACTATTGCACCTAATGCATCGGCTCAGCGTCAAGCTTTAGAATTAATTAAAGTAACCGAGTCTAAAGTAAACGAATATGAATATCTATTGAGCCATACTAGTGACAAGGATCTTCGACATCAGATTTATAAAAAATTGAAGGATGCTTGTGTAACTATTACGCAAGAAAAAAAACATTTTAGTTCACTTCAACATCGTGCTGCAGCTCAAGGGAGATTTAAAGAAAAGAAAAGAAAACAGCTTAACGAGGGGTTGTCGAAATGTATGATACTAGAGGGCGCCCATCTGAGCTCCAAAAAAATCCTGATTTGCTTGATCAAATACATGAATGCGTTGAATTTGGTGCAGCAGACAAAAAAAGAAAAAAAACTGTAATTAAAGTTCGTACTATCAAGCATTTGAAGGAGGCTTTACAAGAAAAATATAATATTTTATTAATAGGCAAACGCTTTCAACTTATCTTTTGCTCTGACATGCTAATACACGTAACGCACTTCGTCACCGTTACCCTGCAAACATTAAAATTAGTGCAGTTTCTAGATCTGAGATGAAATCTCATGTTGACGAACATTATTGTCTCGCATCTGTTAAAACAGCTAGAGAGTTTGCTTCAACCTTTGCCAACTATAGCCTTATTATCTCACAAGATGATAAGGCTAAAGTTGGCTTAGGTGTACTAGCAGTTGGCAGAACCTTTCAAAGCTTACAGTCTCTTAATGAACCAGTTACCGTCTCCGATTACGATTTTCCTCGAGGAGCAAAACAAAAACTCATACCTTCGGTTTACCTGATCATTAACCCTGAAGATACTAATGAGCCGTTACGTCAAGGTCAATTGTCTATTTACATTCATCCTGAATATTTTGTAGGAACTTCTTTATTGTTGCATATGAGAGATTTACTTGAAATTTCGAAGTACTGTATGATGAGTATGAACAAACACTAAAACATAAAGACCAACTTAAATCTATATGGGTTTTGTTAGTAGATGGCGAACTTGATGAAAACCCAAAACATTTAAAAAATATTATTGAATATTGCTGTTTTTTTCGCGAACTTGATCTAGACTACCTATCAGTTCGAACGCATGCCCCTTACTAGTTAGCATATAATCCAGTAGAGCGCAGCATGTGTACACTCTCAGAAAAGCTTGCTGGAATTGAACTACCAATTGATAAATTTGTACTGCATCTTAATAGTCAAGGAGTTGTTGTAGATGAGAATTTGGCAAGGCGCAATTTTGAATTTTCTGGTAAGTGTCTGTGTGAAATTTGGAAGTGTGACAAGATCCATGGAAAGCAAGTATACGTTGATTATGTTGATTATGATAAAGATCCATTTCAAAACAATGGAAAAGAAATTCCTTCATGGTTATGGATTGAAAATCATACCCAAATCTGCCGCTACTCTCTTGATGTGCGAAAATGTTCTGATCTAAGTTGTTGTAGTAAGATCTATGCAAAAGAAGCATTTGATCTGTTAAGAGAAAATAATGGATTTCTTCTACCTTTAGCTAAAGGAAAAGATAATCATTATTTAAACCCAATTCATGTTTTGCAATATATGGATAAAATGAAGCTGCCCAAATATGATGAAGCATGTCCTTCGATATCATCACAAATGTATCAAAGACTTTGTTGCAATATGTGTGACAAATATTTTCCTACTATGAAGATGATCTCTAACTATAAAAAGGCAACCCATCCCAAAAAAACACAAAAAAAAAAATAAATCAGGCCTTTGCATATGAACTTGATTCTTCCATAAATGACGTATCATCCGCCCACTTAACTTCCAAAATTCCAGAGCCATACTTGTCTACAGAAGAAGTTATGGCTTCATTAAATTACTTTGATACTCAGCAAATTAAATTAAGCAATGCAGCCTTTTTGGAGGATTTCACCAACTTACCTTCCACTAGTCTCTCTCGCAATTCAGAAGCTTCTAATTTACGAGAAGTATTTTCTGATGTTGAATAAAAATTCATTGAACGTAGGTAGCTGGTTGTCTAGTGATTTAAACAATTCGTTCATTCTTTTAATAGTTTAATTTTTTTTTTTAGTAATAAATATTGACTCGGATTATAATGTTATAAAAAGACATAAAAAGACAAAAAATGGTTAATATAGGTGTGCATTATAAAATCAAGAAATAAAATAACACCTTTATTGATCAAAAGCAAAAATATAATATTGAAATATTAAACTTGTCGTGTACTAGTGTGGGCTAATAAAGTGCCATTATCTCTATGTTAAAATGTGACTAGCTTAATGAGAATAATGCGCTTTTGATTAGCATTACCCAAATAAATTGAAGTAAAATTTATTAAGATCCGTTCTCTTGCGATGTAGTACTATTATGCAATATCATAGGAGTACAAGGACCAATCAGAAACCTCTAATTCTATATAGACGTGATAAACTACCGTTACCCCCTCCCCCTCGTAAATTATGTAATAAACGGCACGCCCCTAATTATTTTTTATAAAATTAATAAAATTAAAATAATTTATTTTTTATATAAAAAATATTTTAAATTCAATAGCCCCAACGGGGCCCAGATTAGTATATTAAATTTAAAGTTAAATATATAAAAAATTTAAAATTAAAATTTTTATATAAAAATATT